CAATGATCTGCAGTGGATGGCAAACATGACGTGAAATAAATATTTATAAACATAAAACCGAAGTCAAAAGTAACGAGTAATGTTTAGTTTAAAAATGTAAGGAATAGAAAGTACAGATACTTGTGTAAAAATGTAATGAGTAGAAGTCAGAAGTAGGAAGAAAAATAAGTAATTTAGTAAAGTATAGATACCTAAAAAGTGTACTTAGGTACAGTAGCAAAGTATTTGTACTTCGTTACTTGACACCTCTGTTTAGATGTAATTATTCTATTTTTTCTGTCTATTGTTTACCCTGTTTATTTCTTTCACCCTATTTATTTATTTCTATCCCTTTTCCATTTCTGTTTGTATCTCTGCCTCATTCTGCAAATGAGGAGGCGATGGTCTTAAGGAGACAGTTTCTGCTTCTGCTGGTTTGACTGCGTAGAACCTACATGCTACCAGACCAGCTACAGTCATATCAGAAATACACCATCATCACAGTTGAGTTAATAGGCTACAAGACAAGATAAAGCTTATTGTTCTCCTGTGGTGCCATATGCGGTATATATGGTTGCCCAAAATGAGGTGTAATGATTATCCCAATGTTGAATCCTATCAAAATTAATGCCAAGTTCATAACAAGAACACAGCTCTCTGGTCGTGACATAACAGAATATAAACAGGGCAAAGGATGACATAACCAACCTACTGCTTTAAATAGTTAAAACAAAAGTTACAGACCAGTAGGAAGCTGTAAGACAACAGTGCTGCAAAATTTGCCACCATGAAACCAATTTGGTAGTCCCATAGATGTAAAACTCAAAAACTGTCACAAAACTAACTTTTGTTGTTTTATCAGTTTTTTTTAGAAAGTCCTTGAGTTATTGTGCCTTTGAAGGTCCTAAGAGCCACTGTTGCTCCTCAGTACAGGTTTTAGCAGAGGCCGGTAGTAACTAGTTACATTTACAGTGTTGCATTTACTTGAGTAACTTTTGGGAACAGAAAATGTACTTTTAAGAGTAGTTTTACAACATTGTAGGATATTTTATGATAGAGTATCATTAGCCTTAATTAAGTTACATAAGTAAGATTAGACAACGAGTATCAATACTTTACTCAAGTACTACTGTTGAGTACTTCGTCCCCCACTGGA